TCCAGGCGAAATTAAAGAAAAGGAAGAAACTCCCTAAGAAAGATCAAGACCGGCTAGACGAGCTTACTGAGAAGATTAATGCTCGTGCTGCAGCCGCAGCCGATACTGCAGCTAGTGATGAAGCTGCTCAATCTGCACTGGAAGCTGAAATGCAAGCGGCTCGTGAGGCTGAGGAAACGGCCGCTCGCGAAGCTGAGGAGTTGGCTGCCCGGGAAGTAGAGGAGCAGGCCGCCCGCGAAGCCGAAGAACAAGCCGCTCGCGAAGCCGAAGAAAAGGCAGCTCGTGAGGCTGAAGAAAAAGCCGCATTTGAAGCTGAAGAAGCAGCAGCCGATGAGGCGGAACTTGAAGCGCTTAAAACGAAAGCTAAAAGGAAAAAGCTACTCAAAAAAGAGCAGAGGCGTTTCGATGAGCTTACCGAGAAAATCAATGCTCGTGCAAGTATTACAGACGCTGACGGAGAGGATGCTCAAGCGGCCGCCGACGAACAAGCTGCACGCGAGGCTGAAGAGCTAGCAGCACGTGAAGCAGAAGAACAGGCTGCTCGTGAAGCAGAAGAAGCTGCCCAAGCGGCACGTGAAGCTGAGGAACAAGCTGCTCGCGAGGCCGAAGAAGCCAGTGCTCGCGAAACCGACGAACAAGCAGCACGCGAAGCCCAGGAAGCCGCAGAGGACGAAGAGTTCGAGGCTCTCACGGCTGCTAAGGCGAAGAAAAAGAAGAAGTTCAAGGATCAGGCCAGACTGGACGAACTCACCGAAATAATTAACGCCCGTACTGCTGCTACCGCTACTTCAGAAGCTGACGACGAGGCTGCTCAAGCTGCGATTGAAGAAGAGCAGGCCGCCCGGGAAGCCGAAGAAGCTGCTGCGCGAGAGGCTGAAGAGCAAGCCGCGCGCGAGGCCGAAGAACAAGCTGCGCGGGAAGCGGAAGAAGCCGCCCAAGCCGCTCGTGAGGCTGAAGAACAGGCCGAACGCGAACGGCAGGAGGCCGAAGCTGCTGCATCTTCCAAGAAGAAGTCGAAGAAAAGCTCTAAATCCGACGACAAGAAATCCAAATCCAGCAAGGACAAGGACAGGGAGAGGGAGAGGGAGAAGGAGAAGGAGAAGGAAAGGGAAAGGGAGAGGGAAAAGGAAAAGGAAAAGGAAAAGAAGAAGGACGACGATCTAGATCTAGATCTCGATCTCGATAATGTGGATTTGACAATGGAAGAGGCTGAAGAGATTCTTGCGGGCTTAGCGCCTCCAAAGAAGACCCCTAAAGCCGAAAGCGCCTTTTCGTTCTGGGGATCTAAGCCCGCCCCAGTGGACTCAAATCCTGAACCGGTAAGCACACCTCATCCCCAGCACTTGGCAGTGGCCGGGATTACGATTGCTGAGTCAACCCAGCTTCTAGAAGATACGATAGTAGATGAAGGCATGCCAGCTGTTCCGAAGGCCTTCACCGACGATTGGATGCCGAAAAAGAAGGTCAAAGGAAGCAAGCTCGCCGAGAGACTCAAGAAGTTTGAGCCAGCGGCAGAAGATAACTCCGAAGGTGACTTAATCGACGTGGTTCCTGAAGCGCCAGCGCCGCCAATTGATGAATCTCAAGAAGACAACGACCTTCCTGGTAGTTTTCCAATGACTGACGACGACCATGAAGATGTGTTTCACCACGCATCCGAAGTTCCGGTTGATGAAATACCTGACGATACTGCGGAAATCCTGGACATGGCGCCGCCGGAAGAAAGATCGAAGGACGACGATGTACACCAAGATGAAGACGAAATTGTCGAAATCATTGATCTTTCCCCTGTTGTAGAAAAGAAGTCAAAGAAGAGTAAGAAGGGCAAGTCCAAGGATAAAGCCGCTCCTATACCTCCCCCAGCGCCCCCTCCGCCACCTGCGGTACCCGATGCGCCCCCAACCCCGCCATCACCCCCATCACCCGAGTCCAAATCTTCTAAAAGAGAGCGAGCCAAGATCAACCGTGATGGGAGCGCGTCATGGGGTGCGTGGTCGGCTTCGGCCTCGCCAGCTAAGGAAGAGAAGAAGTCATCGAAGTCTAGGTCTGACGCCAAAAAGCCAAGGAAGGAGAGAGAAGAAAAATTATCCTCCAGGGGTTCGGCTTCGGATAAGGCAGAGCAACAAGATAGAGGACCTCTACCTACTTCTAAGGCGCGCATGAACAGTATCTTCCAAAGTACGCCCCCCCTTTCTCGCTCCATGTCGACACGGGACAAGTACGCGGGCAGATCGAGCTCAAGACGCCAATCAGTCGAAATGAGCGGTGGGCTTGTGTCGCCTCCTCCTGAAGAAGTATCAGGTATGAACTCGAAGGCGGCACGGCTTCTAGGAGTGGACAAGAGTCATAGTAGGAGAACCTCGAGGACTCGCGATACTGCGGAAGAAGATGACATCGTCATGGTCGGGACCCGCGATTTTACGTCAAGTCCCGACAAGTCAGCGCGGAGACGACCAAAGGTAAAACGCACAGTATTATTCAAACTCGATGGTACTGACTCGAAACAGGCAAAAATAAATGAGGATGTATTCATGGTTGATGTAGATGGCCCTCCTAACGCGACGCCTTTGAGACGATCTAGCTCAAATGCCAAGAAGGGCATCTCTGGCCTTTTCGGTGGTCTCAGGTCTTCAGCTCCTCGTCCTGAACCTCGTCCTGAACCTCGCCCTGAACCGCGGCCCGAACTCCGCCGTCGAAGCACGTATCACGCCACCGATGATGAAGGGAGACACGACAAGAGAGCAAGGCGCTCAAGAGGAATGAGTACTGCAGAGCCTGAAGTTGATGCCGATCGTGAAGCCCGGCGTGCTGCTCGCCGAGCAATGAAGGAACAGGAACAGGAACGGGCTGAGGAATCTCGGCGCTCGAAGGATGCTCGACGCGAACGGCGTAGACGCCAAGAAGAAGATGATGAAGAAGCTCGTCGACAAGAAGACCGAGAGGCTCGGAGAGCTGAGCGCAGGGCTGCACGAGAACGTGAAGCACAGCGGCTCGCACATGAAGAGGCCGAAGCGAAGGAAGCCGAGAGGGCAGAACGTCGCCGACGCCGCAAACTTGAAAAAGAAGCCGCGGCTATGGAGGAAGCGGAAGCGGAGGCTCGTCGGGCTGCCCGAGCTGACAAACGACGTACGCGACATGCGGAGCCATCCGAAGACGAAGAACGCCGACGGAGACGCGAAGCTAAGCGGGCCGAAAAAGCAGGTCGGAACCGATCTATGCCCACGGGTGATTATGTGTATCCCCGGGAAAGGACTTCGAGGCACACAGACGACGAACGCAGCAAGAAAAGAACGCCAAATTGGCCGCATTCGGGCACGAGCTCGTGGGTCAAGGAGCATTCCGACGCAGGCCCGCCTCCAGATGACGGGCCAATGACCGACGCTCCTCCTGGCGCGGATGACGAGGAAGCCAGGCGTGCAGCCCGGCGGGCAGCCCGTCGACGCGAGAAAGAGAGGGACAGGGACGGATACGGCGATGCGAGGGACGAATACGAGGACGATCAGAGACGGCGGCGTGCGCGACGCGAAGAGCGTGAACGCCGAGAACGTCGCATGGGCGGATCAGATGGCAGCGGGGATAAATCGCAGCAGGCACCACGCGAAGCCCCATTTATGGATGCGACGCCTCGGAGTAGCTGGTGGAGGAAATTTACGGGTTCATGAGATCTACATAGCGCAATCTGGTAATGCGCAGCCCAGTTATTTATAATGGGCGAGGGGGAAATATGTTTTGCTCAGCGTATGTATTATGTTTCTTGGGACTGGACTGCATAATTATATATACCCTTTGGACATACTTTTGCGGCGTGGCAGCATTAGGCGGGCTGCTTGGGCAGCACTCTTTAATGTACAACACTCTTGCCAGTTGGCGATAACAGGTGGGTGTTTAGATAGATAGCAAAATGGATGGCCAAAATCCAGGGCATTGTCCATTATCTGGAGTTGATCCACGGGCTCATGGATTTTTGGTCTATTGGAAGTTATGTGTGCACATCTTTGTTACACGGATGAGGAGAACATCTGCGGTGGGTATAATGGTATTATCTCGAGACTGGGAGTCAGTAGAAATGCCTTATCATATACCCCAAAAATAAACATTAAGATCATGTGTATATACTTGGTCGGTCAATTATTCCTAAAACCTTTTACGTGATACCCCATGTCCTAGCTATTGTCCCTTGAGAACTTCTGCGACTATTTAGTGTCATTCTGATTAATAAGTTACGTGGCATACCACATCAACAACTGGATGATATCAGGATGATCTTGTAAAAATAGGCAACCGCTCGTTGACTACTCCATAGTAGGTACCCTACGCATTCATTATAACAAGACACTTTATTATAGTTCAGCTGATAGTCAAGAAGGCTGTATGGTATATATACGCATGATCTTCTGCATAGCATAGCGAAGGGCTTGTGAACTGAGTAGTATTTTACATATCAACCTCACAAAGACGTGAGATAACATGACTTATACACCTTGCTTTAGCAATCCCTTTCACTCTAGTGTTATCTGTGATCTCCCAGATGCCTCAAATAGTTCCAACCGTATGTAGTAAGTCATACGGTTTCTTTTAGACAGTGCCTGAGACAAAGTATTCGAGGCCTGTATGAATGTCCCTCTCTTACATGCATAGTTGTGTGAAAGAACAAGCTTACATATTCACATACCTCCATCAATGATATTACAGTGCCAATATAGAATAACATGCTAACAAAAGTCAGGATGTGTAAGCAAATGGTGAACAGACAGGATTGATACGCGGTACCACACTCACACACACAACCCCCTTTCTCCCTTACAAGTGACTAACGTGTTCAATTCACGGTTCACCACACACGCGCCCACAGACGCGTTCACGCGTTCCCACGCAAACGCCCAACAATCAACCATCTATCTGACTATCCGAGTAACCGACTAACAGCCGATTAACTGATCTAATCCCTAGTATATCAGTAACAATAGAGGCGAAGTCTACCACATGATTCCGAGTACCAGGCACCAGTGGAGTAGTAGTTAACTCGTTTCCCTCCCATCTAAATCGTGATTGTACTATCATGAGGGCGAGGAAGGAAAGGACCCGGGTGCAAATCCCGGCTGGTGCAATTTGTTTTTTTCTTTTTTGACCTTTTTCTTTCAGACTTTTTTTCCTCCCACCTTTTCATGCCTTCTAATATAATTTATTTCTCAGGTATTTCTTGAAGACTTAATATATTATTGATATATGCTGATTTCATATCTGAAGAAATATTCATTTTAATCATCTATGCGTAGAGGCGGTGAGCTTGGTGAGACGACCTCGATTGGGTGGGCTTGGTTTGCATGCCTCTATTCACGTGAGACTTTGGATGTTAGCTGCCAAGCTTTTCTCCCTTCATCTACATCTTGAACACTGGATATTCTTACTGAAAATCCCAATAAAATGCCTACATCATCGGTACCTTGCGGCATTCTCTCCTTTATCTAGCATAAACACATTCTCAGCCTACCCCTTCTTGGATAACCGATTGAGGCACCCCAGTCTCTTTTCTCTTTTCCAAGGTTAATCTTCGAGATACTAGCGTCTAGGTAACCAAGTGACGTAGAGAAGATGGATTCTATCACACAGACAAAGGAACAAGGATGTTCTTCTCCTTTGTTCCGCGCCCTCGAGCCAACAAAGCGACCACAAAGCAATATAAAGCACAAAATGCCGAGTTTTTCCTCTAGGGATCTCTTCCAAGGCGGAACCATCTATCTCTAAGCAGCATGTTATTAATCTACAGCTTGAAGCTATAATTTCCCTAAAGTATAATCTACAATCAAGACTCCCTATCCAGCGGACAAAACCCCCCTAGCGAGGGATAAAAACACCAATGCAAGGAATAACAGGAGCCAAGAATGTGCTACGAAGAAAACAAACGCACAATCTGCAATTCCTGCGCCGGCCCCATCTCTTCGAAAACAGGAATCCAGCACAAATGCTTCGCGGTGCTTAAGGCGCACCGGAGATTCGGTGCTTGTGGGCATAAAGATGGACCGTATAATACGCTCGTTCGAGAAGGGGTATGCGGGGGTTGTCAGAAAGGGCAGAAGGGGCAGAAAGGACAGAAGGGGCACGAGAGAAGTAAGAGTGAAGGGAAGACTGAAGGGAAGACTGGAGGGAAGAGCGAAGGGAAGAGTGAAATGAAGAACGAGGTGATCAAAAGACTTTCGTGGTGGAGGGGTGAGGCGAGGTGAAGTGAAGTGAAGTGAGGTAAATAGGGGCGCAGAATAGTTAGTACCTATGTGAGGTAGGTAAGTTATCAAGTCTGGTTCCTGTCTGTATACAAACGAACGGATTTCTTCAAGTGTTATTATTCGCTTGTGTATCTTGTTTTGTCTGGTAGTGGTGAGTGCTAATTGATTGATTCTCGATAGAATTTTTCCCTCGGGCTAATTTACGGAGTGCGAAGAGAAGGCCTTTTCAATAACTCGTCCAGCTTGGGCCTCACGGTATATATGCTTAACGGGCCTTTTGTATGATCTCTTTTCGATCACCAGCAATAGGTGCGGTACACTTATAAATTACTATAATTATGTATAATGATATCTAGTTCGATGTTGCTCTGCCTACTTGGCATATTCTAGTTACAACATGTTTACTGCCCATCTCAGGCGCCTGGTGCGAATACGGCTCAGACATGAGAAGTCTAGAAGGCGCCGGAGTGAAGGTAGGAGATGACCTAAAAACATTTGTAACGTAGTTTGTTAGACAAACCGACAAGACCGATAGAATTACCCGTTAGTTAGAGACCATACTTCTCTACTTATTCAGACCGCCGGCCGAGCGTGAACGAGATGTGATGCTCATAAAACATCCAAGCAGAAGTCAACGATACCCAAAAAGGTATATTCATAAAGTTGGTATCAATTAAGCATAATAGCCCAACCATCCAGTTCCACCCATGTGCTGACAAATCCAGCCAAGTCTTTGAAAAGCCGACCCCCCTGCAATGCTCAACGGTGTTTGATAACCCCTTGCTAAGAAAATCAATGCGTCCAAATCCCACAACGCCCGACACAGGACCATAGTACACTGTAATCTATGGCCATGGCGATCCAATACCGGATTCCCAAGTATCGCCAACCTATCCTTTTTCAGGCATCGAGGACTTCGAGACCAGGTATCATGTCGACTAGAGGAGACCTGGGCTGGTTAAACAAAAAATTCCTTTTGATGATCCCGGTATGCTTGCTCCTAGGAAACGCCATCCCCCTTCCACCATCCTTTGAATTGAAAACAAAACAGGCCGTTTCCACGCTGTCGTTAGAAATGATTTCGTAGCACGTTTTTGAAGGTAATAAAATAATCATAACGGTGTACCGAATAGAACGCGATCGAAACCATGGCGCTAGGGGCTTAGGTCGAAATGATCGCCAGGGATATGTTCTACGGCACAGGCTTCAGATGTTGAGAGCAGAATAGAATGGGTCTTGCTATTCTTGTTCGGTGTCGCTTCCCTCGTCCTCAGAAACCTCGAGAGGGCCATACTTCGCCCTGTACTTTTCAAGCTCGGCCATCTGTTTGCTGACGTGACTAAGTATGACTGCCATTGGTGCGCGTAGGTCTTCCAGTTGTTTGATATGGCCGCCGCCCATTGCAGTGTGTCGAAGAGCCAAGGTCGAAACACAAGTCTGCGGAATCAGTTAGCTGATTGTTAAAATCAGATAGAAATAGTCGTCTTACCTCGATGCGGCTCACTTGGTGCTCCATGAAGTTAAACAGGAAACGGTCTGTAACTTCGCCACCACGCTGCTTCATACGCTCGAGCAGCTCGGTTTCAGGAGGTTGCAATCCTCTCCCCGACATCTCTTCTAAAGAGCTGCAAAGCATCTCTAGGCGTAAACTAACTTTCCATAGAGACCAAATCATCTCTGGATCGATGCCAAGCTCACTTCCAGGCACAAGCCGTGCAGGCTGATCGGACAGACCCGCCGTTGTCGTCGAGGGAGCCATGTGGTAATCGATTCGGCAGGCGAGAGCATGCGGATAGAGGGAATAGACATACTCGGGATTTTCGAGTCCCTTCAGTTTCCTCTCACCCATTTCCTTGACTTCGAAACCTTGAGAGGTAAGTGATTTCAATTCCCTCCGTATAGCTAGAGCGGTTGCTGTGTCATCAAATGCCTCGTCGGAGCCCATAGATCCGTTGCGATCGTTCTCTTGGTATGTCTCGAGACACCGCTGGATTTCGGAGATAAAATCTGCAGAAACTGCAATCTGGCCGCCATCGGCTACTGCTGAAATACGAGAGGCTTTGTTGACCATTGGTCCGAAGTAATCCATGCGGCGTGTAACTGGATCGATCTCGGCTACCGGCTCGCCATAATGTATGCCCATTCTGACAGAAAGGCCTCTGAAGATCAGGTTGTTATCCTTGTCCCAAATCTCCTGACACGATACTGAATTAAGCACTTCGGACGGCCAATTCACCTCGAGGAGTTGCATCTGGACAGAGAAGCACCATAGTAGGGCGGATGTTGCAGTAGGGAAGGACACCATGAAGGCATCACCTTCTGTCTTAACTTCGTATCCACCGATGCGTCGGAGCTGCCGACGCATGACCTCATTGTGAAGTTTGATGGAGGACCTCATGGCATCGGGATACATCTCCCATAGGTTAGTAGAGTTTTTTATATCCGTGAAGACGATTGATGGTTTATCAACTGGTGCGGGCACTTCAGCCTCAAGTCGGTGTAAATCTGAGTCCAGAATTCCACCTTTAGGTTTCTTGCCTCGCTTTGTTGGATATTGGAACTCATCTGGGACACCTGAGGGGTATAAAGACATGCTCTGGCCCCTATGCAGACGTGTCGATCGTTCTTGTCGGCGCTTGAGATCAGCAACACTTATCATCATTACCATGATCTTATTGGTTGAACCATAGGCAATAGCAAGATCTCGCAGTTTCTGTGAAGCTCGCATGAGGTCCCCGCGCTCGGACCGCGAGACGTCAACGATCAACGCAGGTCTGAGATATTCCCATAGCTCTTTAGTTGCGATCAAAATCGTCTCGTCCTGGGGTGTGATTGTGAGATGGTTGACATCAGGGGCTGCCTGTACGGCTGGCATGAGGTCAACGTATCCAAAGGCACGAGAGACATCGAGGAGATCATTCAATTTTCCTTGACGAGATACCCAACCACCTGCATCACGAATGCGCTGGCGTTCTGTAGGCTCAGCTGGGTCATGTTTCCGTGTCAAAAGCTTATGAGACCCATCCGACCGAATGATCATTGCTTGTGCATCACCTACATTGGCGAGATACAATTCCTGAGACTGGAGGTACGCAATAGTGGCAACGCCTCCTGAATTGAGATCCTCCTTACTCAAGACTACAGGGGCTCCGGAGCCGCGATGCGTGCCCATTGGTCGTTTCTCTGTATGCTCGATAGCTACAGTAACTAAATCTTTGTTGAGAGCAAGGAAAGCGCGACGCAGTGCATCAGCAGGTCCTTCACTTTGGCGCGTTTTGAGAGCCTTCAATTCCATCGTGAATATGTGACCAAAGTTCTCATGCAAGTACTTGGCGATCTTAGAACCACCACTAGAAAGAGCCTGGCCGTCAAATAAGCCGAGGAGTGTTTCCGTATCTGATGAATTGAAGCGAGGAACAACGAGATCGATCGTAGACAAGTGTTCGTTTCTTCCCATTGTGTCCGCCATGCCGTATGGAAGATGCCCCGCCAATGACCCAGACGTCCTCACGCGACGGTCTTCGCTCTGATCGGGGATACTGGGTTGGGTCAGAGTCACATCCATCAACCCTAGAACGCGAAGATTTATTAGGCGGCTGAAGTCGGTGTACTGTTCGCGGTTCTGTGCAACAGTGCCCTGATTGTTTTGCTTAATTTCTAAGCGTTTATTGCCGGACAAATTGAGATAGCGCAGGTTGGGATTGAGGTTCCAATTCCAATCATACGGAACGTTAGAAATGTTGTATTTCAACGAATTATTTCCGCAATCGAGTACAGCTAGCTTCTTTGCTCTTGAGATATCAGCTGGAAGGTTGGTGAACTTGTTGTTATTGATGTGAAGCACTTGAAGTAGGCTGTATTCCTCCAGGTCATCAACCGGCAAGCT